TCCCTCGGCGACTTCCAGTGCTGACCCACTTGATAGAAGCCAGATCTGAGTTACCCACTCCCGTTCGACATCAGATTTGCGAGCCCGAACCGTATCGACCCCAGATCTACAGTGTCGAAGTCCTTCGACACTGATCCAGCCATAACTCAAGACGTTTCATTGTGAGTCAATAGGTAATGGCTTGCTTAAACTCGCTTTTCAATTCGAGCAAGGTGTTTCGAATTGGTTTCTAATCCCGAATTCATGTCTTTTGATTAGGAACTTTTCGGCAATGCTTAGGAGTTTTAGGACACCATTTTGTAAGTAGTTCTTACTTGAGGACGATTCTTGGTGATGCATGTTTGCTTTGGTTGCTCTTGCTTCGCATTTATTACTAAATTATATGATTCTAATTATCTATGAGTGTAATGTGAAAGTGGTTGGTTGCTAAAATGGTTTTAGGTTGTTGCTATGGTTTCTTTTGGATTGTGATTATTGAAGTAGGTTGGATATATTGTTTGGTTGTATTTATGAAAGCATACTAGAATATTTGTGAGATGTCTGTTATATATTTGGTTGGGTGTAATTGTAGAAGCATGATGGATATATGTTGGACATATTGTTTGATTGTATTTCTTTTTGTCAACATGCTGAAATTTTTGTGAGTGCATGGGTTATGGCTTAGAAAATACGTTATAGAACTTTTGTATGAAAGCTGTAAATGTTATGGGCTGATACGTCACTATTGGGCGTCTAGGCCTCAGGTAAAAATGGTTGAGGATCGATGTGATGCTCTACCTAGAAGGCAAGTATTAGGGTCTTAGGTGAAAATGGTCAAGGGCTAATACGTTGCGAAGTCATTTAGATCTTGAATAAAAATGGTTAAATGGTCAAGGTTCGAATGCCAAGTTCTTTGGAGAAGTGTCGAGACCTTGGGTAAAAATGTTCAGCGGTTGGAACGACACGAAATAGTAAGTCTCGGAAGAATAGGAAAAAAATTAGTAAAAGTTTAAAAGAGTTAGAGACTCTAGTGAGATTTGTGAGCTGAGGCTTGGGCAGTGCAGGTAGGATGCATGATTAGTTAAACATACATGTAAAATGTTCTATTTTAAAATATGATAAGCATGATACATCGATGCACATGATGTATTGTGTAAAGCATGCAGTCTATGCGTGGCGCTTTAAGTAGGGGCTACTTATTGAGTGTTATGTACTCACCCCCTCCCTACAAATTTTGAACAAAAAAAGAACCAGAGTTATATGGTCTTGGTGATGGCGTGGAGGAGACTTGAATGAAAAAGACCATATAGTTGTGTCGTTTAGACTTATATTTTGGCTATTCAAGATTTAGCAGGAGATAGGATAGTTCAGTTGATTTCGTTTCTAATATAGCTTTGTTTCTCACTTTAGTAGGACTGTTTTGGTTAGTTGCTGTTTAATGTTGTGAATAGTGCTTATTAGCAAGGTGTTAGACGATTCTTTGATCTAAGTGGAGGTTTTTGGTTTATTGATTTAGAAATTTAGAAGAGTTGGAACTTCTTTTATTTGCTTGATCTTGTGGATTGAGACCTCTTGGAGTTTATTTGTTTACCAGGGTAAAAAATAGTCTCCTTCCCTTGTTTGATGTGGTATTGAACAATTGGTTTTTGTAACGGACCCCATTTGGGATATTGAAAATCATGGGATGTTACAGTTACAGGAACTCACCATTTTCTTTAATCTATAAAAATCCTCCCTTTTATTTCTTCTTATCTCTGTATTAATTTTGAGTGGTGAAAATTTCTTGAAACAACTTTTCTATTCAATGCATTCCCATTTTTTGCTTCATTGACTAGGTAATGAAGGATTTTAATGGGACGGGGGAAAGACCTGAATTCAATATGCTCTTCTGGAACTGCAACTGATATTGTAGATAGAAGTCAGCAATCTGTTTGTCCAGAGTCAGGGTCTAAAAATCGTACATCCTCCAAAGCCTCCTTATGGCCAGGCTTCTTTGCATCTACTTTCTCAATCTTTGAACATCATAACGAGTCCTCTGTCAGTGAAAAGAAGACAGTTCAATCTCGACACAATGGCTGGACGACAACTGTGAGAAAAATTATGACTAGTGGCTCAATGAGGAGAATTCACGAGCGCATATTGGGTTCTCGCAAGAGTGGTGTCTATAGTTCAGGTGGTGACATATGGCTTCTTGGTGTATGCCATAAAATTTCCCAAGATCTAGCTTCTGATGATGCAGTTACTAGCAATAGTGTAGCAACATATGAGCTAGACTTTTCATCTAGGATTCTGATGACCTACCGTAAAGGTTTCATGAAATGTGCTCTCTTTTAGTTTATCATAAGATTGCATAATATCATTTACAACTTGTGGTTTAACTTTTTCTCTCTCTTTCTTCTTCTTCTTCTTCTCCTTCTCCTTCTTCTTTTCGTTCCTTTTGTCTATCCACTTATAGGTTTTAATGTCATTCAAGATTCAAAATACACCAGTGATGTAAACTGGGGTTGCATGCTAAGAAGCAGCCAAATGCTTGTGGCTCAGGTAGATGAATTTTTACTTTATTTATTTTGGGTATATTTATGCTGTTGATCCATTGCTATTCTTAATCTTGGTTCTGGCATATTTTCTTTAAATCTTTGTATTGACCTTCTTGTCTACTTCAGTTATGGGGTATTCAGTTCTTTCCTTTTATTAATCTCCATGTTATCCACAGGCATTACTTTCTCATAGATTAGGAAGATCTTGGAGAAAGACTCCACAAAAGGTATGGCTGTATGGTGATGATTCTTGAAGATTTATTAACGTGCTGGATTTGCTTTCCATACAAAATTAGTAGTAAACCTAATAGACTTCAATTGGCAGCCATTGGATAAAGAATATATTGAGATTTTGCACCTTTTTGGTGACTCGGAGACATCAGCCTTTTCAATCCACAATCTTCTTCAGGCGGGAATGGCCTATGACCTTGCTGCCGGGTCATGGGTGGGGCCATATGCCATGTGTAGGTCATGGGAAACTTTAGTCCGCTTAAAGAGGGAGACCCCTAATCTTCAAGACCAGCAACTTCCTATGGCCATGTATATTGTTTCTGGAGATGAAGATGGAGAGAGAGGTGGTGCCCCAGTTTTATTCATTGATGATGCCTCTAGACATTGTTTTGAGTTTTCAAAAGGGCAACTTGATTGGACCCCCATTCTTTTGTTAGTTCCTTTGGTTCTTGGACTTGAAAAAATCAACCCAAGGTATGATGTAGTTGTTTACTGGTTTTATATTTTTTAATACTTTGGGCTTACCTACTCATGTTAATAATAATGAAATAGGATTTCCACCCAAGCTAGTACTTGTAGAGGCTATAGTTTTTCCTAAGTCAGTGGTTTTGCATCTTCATGCTTAAGTTGTTTTATTGTAGATTAAAAGTTTTGATAAGAATCCGTAAACTTGTCCCTATAGGTTTTGAAAGTGTGGCTGTGTTGCAGATATATTAAGTCTAGCATTGCTCCTTGGTGGGAGGAGTTGGGGAAAAATGGGGGGGAGAAGTTTATATCTATGATTAAATTGGATTTTGTGAAAAGAAAGTTGGCAAAATGAAATGTGAAGATGTTTGGAGGATTTCCTTATGGGCGAGGCTAGTTGGAGACTAAAATGCAAGGTTGAATGGATTTCGAAGGGTAATTCTAATGCCACATTCTTTGAGAATTGTGGCTTCAACTAGAGGAAAGGTAATTCTAAAAAGTGTGATATCTATACTCAGTCCAAGGAAGCCATGTCATCCACTGGTTTAGTTTGTATTGCAAAGAACAGTAAGGCAAGTTTCCAAGCTCCTAATTACATCTTTCAATTGCTCAACAATTCATCGCTGATGTGTGATACACCTTCAAAGGTTTTGATAGACCCCAAATCACTAAATATTATAAACGTAAGCATGTGAGACAAGAGGGAGCCATGTAAGCAGTAAGGAGGGGGATTGTGTGGGCCTTAGGAATATTGTTAGTTAGAAGGAATGAGGTTTAAGGGCTGTGACGTGAGGAGGTGAGGCGTTAAAATAGAAGTTTGTTGAGGGGGGAGGGGTATCTTTTTGCATTGTGAAATCTGTAAGGGTCAGTGAGTCCTTGATGGAGAGTTGGGAAGTTCTAAAATGATTTTTGATGCTCTGTTTTGATAAATAATATTGAGCCTTATCAGATTTTTGTCTTGACATATGATACACGCCAAAAAAAGTAAGGAAAACTTTTCCCTGTTGCTCCATACTCCTTGGCATAGCATGATGTTCAACTACTTCCTTCACCAATATAATCTTGACCTCTTGAATTGTACATGAGTGTTTTAAGGCAATTAAGTGGGCCATTCACTTAGTTTATAGATATCCACTAGTGATAGACATTCAACAAAGTCTATGGGCCTTACTAAACTCGAGTAAGTTATAGGTGGCCTACAATGCAGGTATTGTTTTGTTGAACTCTAGTGGGATGGCTATAGTTTTATATGTCCTTCAATTCAACCCAACATACTGCCATTTCCAATCAACTATTGCTCTTAATGTGCTGAGTATCCACCGATTATACAGTTTTGGAAAACCTAGGGGCAAAATTCAGACTAAAAGAAGCTTAAGACAAGGGATCCTCTCTCCCCTTTTCTTTTTACGATTGTGGGGGATGCGTCGAGTAGATTGATACATTTTTTGTAATGAAAGGAGCATCCTCAAAGGGTTCAATGTTGGCTCTAGCTCCTTAGAGGTGACTCACCTTCAATATGCCGACGATATGCTAATTTTCTGCCCCTTTTTTGCTCAGATGATGGAGAATTGGTGGGGCCTAATTCATGTGTTTTTGTTGGTGTCGAGCCTCGCTTTCAATGTCTCCAAAACGGCAGTAATTGGTGTTAATTGTTTGAGGTCCGAGGTCAACTTTTGGCCATCTTCTTTGGCTGCAAAGTAGATACGTGTCCCTTCTCCTATTTCGGTTTACCCCTCAGTGAGAACCATATGACCACCAGTTTTTGGGCTCCAGTAGTGGATAAAATGCATAAGCAGCTTTAGAAATGGAAATCCCTTTTGCTCTCTAAAGGTGGCAGGCTTACGCTGGCTCAATCGGTTCTCAATAGCATTCCTATATACTTCTTTTTGATTCTAAAGGCTCCAAAGACCGTAACCAAGTCAATGGAGAAACTTATGAGGGATTTCATCTAGAATGGTGGGAGTCACAGACCGATGGGTAATTTGGTGAATTTTTTTTTTTTTGGTATGAAACAAATATTTCATTAATGGTATGAAATATACAAAAGGCCACATGGGCAATTACAAGAAAACCTTCCAGCTTGTAATAAGTTCATTTAGAGAGTAACTATTGAAGGGGGTAGAAACATTTACACCAACCGAGAGTTAGAGTAGTAAAACCCTATCAACAAAGATATCAAAAGGGAGCGCTTTATCATTGAAGACCCTATTGTTTCTTTCCAACCAAAGACTCCAAAGGAAGGCCCGAACAAACTGGGTACACAGGATCATTTTTCCTTTTCTGAATGGATGACCCGCCAAAAGTTGATCAAGGAAGGTTGTTGGTTTGTTGTGTAGTACTGTCTTCCATCCAAATATAGAAAGGAGATGATTCCAAAACCGATTTGCATATATGCAATGGATAAATAGATTGACATGGAATTTGGGCTTTAGAAGAAATCTTTTTGATAGGGAAAAAAATAGATGGGCAGCCTTTAAAAGATATAAGGGGTGGTCCTTGGGAGTGGCAGGGACATGCTATGGTGGAAACCAGATTCTTTAAGGCGTTTTTCTGTTAGTTCAGCCATCTTGGCACTCACGTCTCCTTCTCCTAGACTGTAATTGGCGACTGCAAACCTGATTTGGAACTTTACAGTTCCTATAAAAAAAAAAAAGGAGGTTAAGTTCTTTATGTGGACCCTTTTCTACAGAGGGATTAACTAAAGGAAGTTCCCTCAATGGGCTCTTTCCCCTTTTTTGTGCAGGATGTGTAGGAGGGATGTTGAGGCGGTGGATCACCTCTTTTTGCATTGTCCTTTCGTTACTAAAGTGTGGGGTTTAGGATAAAGTGTCGGTCCTTTGGAATTGTGTGGCCTGGGCTTTGCTTTGGTCATTTGGAAAGAAAGGAACAACCGTCTTTTTGAAGATAAGTCGACCTCGATAGATTCTTTTTGTGTGAATATCAAGCATATTATGCTTCTTGGTGGTCTTTACTCCACAAGAAAGTTTTTGTAATTATAATCTTTTGCTTACACAAGATTGGAAGTATAGAGCTGTATAGAGCTTTGGGGAGGGTTCACTCTACCCTCCGCCTCTAGGTTGCTCCCCCCTTTTTGTGGGTCTGGTTTCTTATCAAAAAGAAAAAAAAAGATTATACAGTTTTGGAAGTCTGTAAAATTAGGAACCTAGTAGTTGAAGTTGATGGCAGCACAATTACATTTGTTTATTTTTTGATGAAAAGTCGAGAGAAAAATAAAAGAATGCAAGAGGACATGCGAAGAAACAGCCCAACATAAAGGAGCCAAACTAAATAAAAGGGCTCCAATCAAGAAGGATTAGACCTAGAGAGTAATTACTAGAGTCTAAGCCCAAAGAGATACATGAAACCGAACAAGGGTCCACACGTCCTCTCAAGATCTCTCAACCCCGTTTGTTTATGTACCTTAGTATTCATTGTATTAAACGATGAAGCCACCATGAGTTGGCGTAGTGGTCATTAGGGGCTTGGCGAACCACGTGGACATCTACCTAGGATTTAAATACTACAAGTTTTATTGATAATAAAATATTGTAGGGTTAGGCTATTGTCTTATGAGATTAATGGAGGTGCATACAAGTTGGTCACTTAGTCTTAAGCCCAATATTTTTAAAAACAGAAAAGAATGTGAAGTGCATTATTTAGTACCTTTTAGTTTTTGTAGGGCTGATTTATTAGTTGATCACACCTTATAAGATAGATCCTATTTGAGGGCAGGTTTAGAAGGTTGGTGTAAAAGGGCAGCAACAATATGGTTTACAACATGTTCAACTTCTACTTGGTCATCTGTTTGAACATAAAATGAGAGTTCTATGGATTATCAATCGAGAAGCCTTTCTATAGTTGCTCTTTTCCTCCTTCCTCGCTATGCTGGGAATAGTCATATTCACATTCCTATTAAGAAAAATTTCCATTTTGAGCAGTTTGGATGGGACTCCTATGCATTAAAGCCCGTCTTTGGTAATACCTATATTAATCGTTTTAAAATTTACAATTCTTTTTAAGTTAATGGCAATTGGAGAATTTTTTTTTGATTCCTCGGCTGCTAAGTTGAGTTGATTGCCGATAACTTTTTCTATGTGTATCTTTTGAGTTCCTATTAATATAGAGCTGCTCAATCTTGGGTCTTAGGTGTGGGTCGGATCATGATAAAGAAGGTTCGGTGGTTGTATAATTCCCAAGCGGAAAGTCGTCTACTTGCAAAGTCGATGGGGTTCCGCGCTTCGCAAAGTGTTTAATGATGCGTCTGTAATAGCCTACACATAGGTCCCAAAAAAGAACGCGCTACGCCCGGCCCCCTTATTGTTTCTATTGCAAAGGACATCAACCACGTTATTCTTAAGCTCCATCTGTGTTGTATCTGAAATTCATAGGAAGTTGGTTTTTTATTATTATTATTATTATTATTATTATTATTTTGATAAGAAACAAAAGATGTGTATTCAAAACAAGAAGGCCCCTAGAGGGGATACAAACAAAAGGCGGAGGGTAGAGCTAACCCTCCCCAAAGCTCTATACAATCACCGCTTTCCAATCTTGTGTAAGCAAAAGAAGATTGGAGTTACAAAAAACTTTCTTTTGTAGTATAGTCCACCAAGAAGCTAGATGCTTAATATTCACACAAAAAGAATCTAACAAAATCAACTTATCTTCAAAAAGCCGACAATTCCATTCCTTCCATATCGACCATAAAAGAGCCTGGGCCGCACAATTCCAAAGAACCCAAGCTTTGCCCTTGAGCTGCCTTCCTCCATAACCTTCAGCAATGAAATCCTCAATTCTTCTAGGAATACAGAGAGAGAAATCTAGCAAAGAAGCTATAAACCCCCAAACTTTGGACACAAAAGGGCAATGGAGAAAAAGGTGGTCCACTGTTTCATTGTTGCTCATGCACATTGTGCACACAGAGGGAGAAAGAGTCCAATGAGGCAATTTCCTTTGAAGTTTCTCTACGGTATTTACCCCTCTATAGAACAAATTCCAAATGAAGAATT